GGGCGGCGGTTGGCGGGGGTCGCTCGCGCGGCCGTTGGCTGAGGGAGGTGACCGTTGGCGGCCGTTGGTCGCAGGCTCAGGGCGCCTTGCCCTCAAAGGTGGCTGCCCGTGGGGCAGTGGGGACCCTGCAAGCAGGTAGGTCTGCGCTGAACTTCTGCAGACACTGGAAAAAAGAAAGAAAAAAGCACGTCCTGTTGGTTTTGAGATTCATTTTTGAAGTGACTTCATTCAGTGTCTCCTTGTCTCTTTTTTTTTTTTTTTTTTGTTAGGAAATCAGTCATGATACTAAGAAATTCCGTTTTGGGCTACCTTCCTCAGATAATGTATTGGGATTGCCTGTAGGTAGGTACTGAACCATGTCTCTACTTAGGATTTCAGAATTTATTACCTCTTTTCATAGGTCTGATTTTTCTAACTTTTTTCTCCAAGAAAGATGGGAATTTAGTGCTCAGCAAAGCAGGGAGTTAAAAACTGTATCTGAAAGTTACTGTGCCAGAGAGAAATGCTAAATTTTGCTGTGATCATATTATCTTTTGTGTGCATTTCATGCTTGTGCTAAATTGTGTAATGCAGTTTTGGAGTCAGAGTAGTGAAGCTGAGCTGGGACCTGAATTACTAGCTAGTCAGGATGCAAATGGGATGGTGTCTGTTCAGGTTTTTAATTCTGCTTATTTGTATTCTATTTTTGGTCTCTGGTGCCCTCCGTTGTTTTTGTGCCTTAGCTGTAGTAATTAGAATGCCTGACAAATGCTTACAGTAGTGAGTTGTGCAGCCTTAGATGAGAAAGAGCAACTCTTCCATCTTGGAAGCTTATAAATAATGTATGCAGAGCGATGGGGAAAATACAATTACTCTATGCAAAAGATCCTGCAATATTCAATATTCAAAGCATTTTATGTGCATGCATTTAACCTTTGCATGCATAGATAGATATGCATATATATATGCCTCCTACTTTCGCTTGCTTTCTATAGCATTAAGTTCATTTCAGACGGATTGGCAGAGTTTTCTTTCCTGTGTCCTGAAAAACAGGTGGCACTGAACCTTGGACCTCAAATTAACTATGTATCTATGTAGGAGCAAGTCTCCCTTTTTGATCTCTGGATTTGGCAGATAATGTAGGTCTCTTTACTGCGCTTGACAGCTTTGCTTGCTGATTGCAAGCATCCAGCTTGTCCTGTTTCTGCCCTGAGAGTGCATCTTGCAGGCTGCCTGGCTTTCCTCCTGGCTTGCAAGAGAAAGTGTAATTGGGCTGCTTGTGTAAATAGATAAATAGTAAATGAATATAAGAAGTGCTCCATAGTGAGTGTTCATACTTGTCCCAGGGTTATTCTTAAGAATGTAGGAATAAGATGCTGAAACTTTCCACAGGCCGGATTACTCTCTGGGGATTTTAGCCTTCTGCTTTTTACCAGGATCAAAGTGTAGACAGTGCTTGTGAATGAATAACAAGCTTTTTGTATCACTATTTTGTTATAAATTTCCTACTTTCTTGTGTCTTATCCATGATTCTGTAACATACTAGTGCTCCTCTGTTTTCCCATGTTACAGAAATCAAACTGTTTCTGGAAAACAAACAAACAAACAAACAAAAAAAAAAACCAAGAACTGGACTGATGCTCAGCAGTCTGGGTAGCAGCACTAATCCAAATCCTGCATTTTCATTAGTTAAATACCAAATCTATTTATAGAATAGAAAATCCCACAAAGTAGGTGCTATAAGGTTGTTATATGGTTTAATTTCTAGAAAGTTTTGTGATTTCTACTGACTGGCTATTTAAACTGAAAAAATGTGTAGAAGTTATGGTTATTAGTAGATTGCTTTTTCAACAATACATGTCTGGTATTGATACATAATACACAGTAAGGAAACACAAAACAATATGGCTACCTCAGTTGGGAAAAGCCAAACTTATCATGCCAGACATTTTTTTTTTTTTAATTATTGTTATTTTTAGCTATAAGAGCCTTTGGATCACAGCTGATGTCTCTTAGGACAAAAATAAGGGGGGATGTGCTATGTAGTTCAGTAGTTTGTTATGATTGAAGAAAAGAATCAGCTCCTTGGCTCTTATTTGGAGGGGGAGCATGTACACTTGCATGTGTGATATATACTATGATTATGATGATTTTCATAAATCATGGATTGTGTAGCTATTTACATAAAGTTTTTTTTTTCTGTGCAGATTCAGAGGCTAACAGAATAGGTATTTGATGTAACTTTTATATTGTAAAGAATTTTCCCATCATTGCTTGTGTTTAAGATGTTAAAATACCTGTTTTTCCTGTCCTTTTTCAGCCTTTTCTTATCCTCTAGGTCTGAAAAAAAGCTTGAAACCAGGGGATGAAATCAAATAATAATAATCAAATTTCATTCTTTCTCCCTAGGCCAACATGTTTACCTCTCTGCAAAAATCAATGGTAATCTGGTGATCCGAGCCTATACCCCGGTTTCCAGTGATGAGACAAAAGGTTATGTTGATTTAATTATAAAGGTAAATTTTTGTTTCCTTTAATACAGATAGATTGCTAGATTTGATGAACATATAAAGGTGCAAAATAATTTTTGCATGGAAAGGGAACTATATTGTTTCAGTGAAATGTAGAGTTTTTTTGATTGATCTTTCACATAGGGCTTCATCGTATACATGAACTTGAAAAACAAGTTGTGTCTTGTAAATCTGCTGCATGCTACAAGGAGGTAGCTGAGATAGGGAAATAGAGAAAGGAATCATTCCTTTAGCTGTATTACAGGAACTTTCCTAATATTTTTCTGGCAAAAAAATCAACAGTGATCACTCACTGTTAATCTCTCTGTGCTGCTGCTAATAATTATTGCTAATAGGTTGCTGTAAAGTAGGAAACAGATCACTGAGACCTGCTATCTTCCTGACACTAGGCAGGTTACAGCTGTATGTCTAAGTTTCAGAAGTTCTGCTAATGCCATTATTGATAGTAATGGTGCAATATAAATTGAATATGATTTCTCGATAATAACATCACAACATCACAGAAGGGTTGAGGTTGGAAGGGACCTCTAGAGATCATCCAGTCCAACCCGCCTTGCTCCAGCAGGGACACCTAGAGCAAGTGGCACAGGATGGCATCCAGGTAGGATTTGAGATGTCATGTTTATATACTTTGCAATACAGATACAGGGGAAATTGTTTAAGCTAGAGAATGTGGGATGATCAGATCCCAAGATTTATGGATTTCCTAATCCTTTTGTAGGATGGAGTTTGTCCTTAGGCTTTTTTCTTCCCCCAACTGTATCTATCTGTGTTTTTTTTTTTTTTTTTCATTGTCTTTCTGTGTGCTGTGTTCCTCATGTTAACAGGTATTATGAATTGTTGATAACTACCTACTATTTCCAACCTGGTTTGAAATGTGAAAAGGGTATTACATGATGCAGCAATGCCATTTTCAGAAGGAGAGATTAGAGAAATGGTGTAACACAAAGTTATTGCTGGAAGAATAGTGAAATGAGTGCATAGTCTCTACATAATCTGCCTCCCACCGACTCCTCTTAGCCTAGCTATTAGCGGAGGGCATAGAAACATGCCAAGAATGAGCATTTTACTTATTTTGGTTCCTTCCTGTTGCAAGGCATAGACAGATAACAGAGTTGAGAATCATCTCAATCCCAAATTTCAGACTTGCAAAGTATTTTTGTTTGTTGTAGTTTGTTTTGTAGTATTGCCTACTGGAAAGGAAATGGTTGACATCATAGAAATTATTATTTTTACAGGTCTACTACAAAAATGTGAATCCCAAGTTCCCAGAAGGTGGGAAGATGTCCCAGTACTTAGACAACATGAAGATTGGGGATGTTATTGACTTCAGAGGGCCAAATGGGCTGCTTGTTTATGAAGGGGCAGGTACTGTGACATAAATTTGGATGGTGGAAGAGCCAAGGGGAGGAACTAGTATTCGTTGTTTTCAGAAGTGTTTTTAAAACTTGATAACTTCATAGACAATTTTTGGGAGGCAAGATGGAAAGGAATAAAATCCATATCTCTTGATCATGACCAACTGGTTATGATGAGAAAGAGTACTTGTGGTACATACTTGTACTGAGACTACAAGTGCCTTTAGTTCTTTCACTCCTGTGAAATATTCATGGGAAGTATAATTAAATCTGAACAATCAGTTGTTGCGTATCACTGAGAAGAATACATTGGAAATAGCTCAGGTATAGCTAAATGGAGAGAGAGGTTTCAGATGCACTTCAAGATAGGGAAATTGTGGCCTACAGTGTCCTTTTGGGAATCTCATCCTTGTTACTAAACAACCTGGTGCTTGTGAGCCAGCTCTGTTTCATTACTAAATCTGTTTTTTTGTTGACTGGGAGAGAGTTACTTTGGCGAAGTAAGCCTCTTTCAAGGTACATGTAAAAGACCAAAGTTTTGCATTGATCTTTTAGGAAGGATTTTTGCACTTAAACTTCATACTTCAAGGGATTAAGTGCTTTACTTTTTTGAATTGAGATCTTTATAATAAAAAAAAAAAAACACTGAATCCCCTGCTGGTTTCAGGGGAAACTAGTGATCCATGTTTTACATCCATTCCTTTGTCTCCTGCTTCGCTTGCCATGAAGTAGCTAGGGAAGCTTGTTGTTAGTTACAGGTCTCTTAAAAGATAATTGTGTTCCATGTAGGATACATTTCATGAAGCTTGCCACCAAAGTTCCTGAAGATTAACTGAATTACAGAGTGAGCATTTTGAAGCAATAGCGTACCCAGTTCTTGAGGCTATTTTATGTCATTTG